ATAGGCCCGTTAACACTTTTAAACTAAACATTACTTCGTCAGTTGAGTACCATACGATAATGACGACGTTTGAATCGACCCTTGCTTGAGCTCCATATTAGAAAGAAATGTTCTTGCTCGATAAAGACAAATAAACGACAAAGGGGAGATACGAAAGATACGCTACTGGTTGATAATGAAACACAAATACAAAGCCTCGAAATGTGATGTTAGTCAAAGAGAACTTAGCAAGGGTGAGTTTACGTATCTATTTTTTATTTTCTACTCCACAAACAATTAAACAATTAATTACGCACAAGCATTATGTAATGCTGTAAGTGCACTTAGAGTAGGGACTTCAGTCATACATTTTATTAGGTTGTCAAGGCACATTAAAAGTAGCAAGAACGAAAGGACGACACTGAAACACTGAAACGATTCTGAATGGATAAGAGGCCAAAATCAAACAGGAAGTGATTGTGTTGTTGGTACTGGCACTGTTGGATTTCACTTCAAGCGAGCGTGGATTTTTATAGTTATAAGCTTTTTCTGGCCCAGTTTCATTAAGAGGTGGATCAGTTTTCAGCGTTTCGAATCTAAGATGTATATTATCTTATTTTAAACTAAGCTGTGATTGTAGAAACCAGCTTCTGTAACAATATGCATTATATCAATACCCTCCAAAATTTAGTAGCTACAAGTTAACTTCTGTTTTATCAGTTTTGTCATTGGACCCATGAGTGTAACCACACGCTTACGAAAGCTGAATTAGTGAACCTTTTAAAGTAGTTTTCCGTTCGATTTCGGGTGGCCTTGTCAGGTCCCTGCTATTAACGTTTTTTTAATCTTAACCCCTAAAGTGAGACCGATATGGGAGTACCTTTGTTATTATATTCATGGTTTTTTATTAATTATGTGCAAAAGAATAGAAGTAAATAAATATACAACTTTAAATGATTTATACTAATCTAAACTATAATTTTTTTTTTACAATAACTAGGGTGAACCCCTACCCATTCAGTTAGAGAGCGTAAAGCTGGTAATTTGTTCCTTATTATTGTATGATGCTTCGATTAAATATTGTGTGATTCTTTGATTATAAATATAGAATTACACTCAGTTTTTTATGCTGCTTGTTTTTTTATTTTTTTGTATTGTTATTCAATTTCGTTCTGGTATCAACTCGAAATAGTCAGTTCTTTTCGTGTGAGTTTTGACCACTATTAACGCAACTTTTCCCGCTGAATTGATATTCATTACATTGTTAATTCAGTTTACGATCGTTTATTCTGATGAAATAAATTGCCTATAACCGCCAATTTTGGTTTTTCCGTGGTGTACTATTCTTTGAAGACGACCTGTAAAAAAATCCCATCTTCTAGATGCAACACGCGTAGAATTCGTATCGCTTCGTATGGGTTTGTCACTTGGCAGTCGCTGCACGCGCAGCATCATTACTACGGAAAAGGTTTGCAGTGAAAGAATCCAAGACATCTCAAACTTTAGGTTACATTCGGCAGACAATTGGGCTCAAAAACGCCCTTTTATGGACATTTTCTTTGTTTGAGAGATTAAGCTCTTTTGTTAACGGGCGCAAAAGCTTGAAGGGTCGACTCTAAGCCGAGTACCTCAACGCAAAATTTGGAAATAATCGGAAATGGCGTAAACGAAAATTATAACTGTCAGTGGTCCAAACCATAAATTGAAGACGCTCCTTCCACCAGACCATGTGAACTCATGCTATAACCTAAGAAGATAGCGCCTTTTTAATATGCCAAAGCTTTGCACGAACAGAACAAGTAATACGTTTATATATGCGATGTCGAAACAGTCCAGGCTGTAGTTTTATCCCACTTATATTCATGCTTTATATTTTCACATATTTGTATGAATATGCTATACAGAAATTTTTAATATTATCTTAAAAATTAGTTTTCGACTTATTATCTAGGATTCATTTGTAATTTTCAAGTGTTGTAAAGTTTTTGAAAATAGTTTCGTAATGCAACCTTTGGCTGCGATACAGTTTTAATAAACCATCTATCTATCTATCTATTTAGCTATCTACCTAATTTGCTTCGGTGGAGGGGTAAGAAAGCTTTTGTTAACAAAAACTCCTTACTTACTGGGTGACGGAGGGCAAATTTGTATAGGCACAGATGGGGAGGAGTTAAACTCCACGACCTTACAGACGTTAAGAACTCAGGCACCTTCGCGCTATCTTAGCTGAAGTAAAGCTGAAAAGCTATCATTTAGTGCTTTTGTCGCTTAAGCCAAAATAACACTCTCCTTGCAACTTGATAACAATTCAAAATTTAAAAAACCCTCGTACTACTGTCATGCGAGCAAAGAATTTTTTAAGATAACGCTTTTTCACGCTATTCACGCTCAACCCGAGCAAGAAACTCTCTTTGCGAATTCATTAACATTCAAAATTCAAAACCTTTCGCGCCACTGTCATTCGAGAGAGAAATTTGTTCGACCCACTTCGCGTCCCTTCGAAAAACACGCTCTTACGCACTGTTATTGCCGAGCAAAACAAGAAATTATCTTTGCGCCTTCATCGACATTCACATTCCTAAGAATTCTTGTGCCATGAGTGTCTCTCGAACCAACCATGAAACTCCCTCCGCGACCTCTTCAAACGTAACTTTTTCGCACCAACAACGTCTTTTAATCGAGCTATTGTCGTCTTTTTAACTTAGAAAATGTTCAAAATCATAAATTTTCGCGCTCTTGTTCCATCTCTCTCTACAACTTCCAAACAATTCAAGCCGTTTTCAGTATTTCTAAATATCACGCTCTTTCGTGCTATCGTTGCACGATGAACAAAAAACTCTCCGCGACATCATCAACAGTCAATATTCGAAACATTTTAGCGCCATTGTCGATCGAGCCAAAACATCACACTTCTTTTGTGCTATTGTCTCCCTGGGAAACTTTCCCTACTGTCTTTCAAGCTTATTTTAATTGTAATTACCATTATCGACAATACTTACATTCTCTTAATTTTCTTGACAGATTAAGGAACAAGAAAACAGGATGCCATGCGCCAGACGCAAAAATTTAAAAAGGAAAAAGAAGGATCTACCGCCACCAAAGTTAAAGTTCAGATAAAGAACAATTGCAAGAAAATCAAGAAGGCCTGGTAGGAAGTGAAATAGTGTACCACTATAAAGAAGAGATTGTCTCAAAAATTTTGGCTTACCACCTAACAAATAATTCTTCCTTTTTTTTCCGTCGACTCTTCAGTTCCTATTTGAAATCAATTGGAAAGTGGACCATATAGTACAGTTTTAATAGTACTGGAGCACTTTTTTGTTTATAATAATTTAAGTCAAGATGTGGCTGTTGGGCACGCCAAGCGCTACATTATACTCGAGGGATGCTTCTTCTGGAATGTTATTTTAAGACTTGAGATTAGATTTGTTTCGATCTTTCTTTGATAGGAGGTAGAGTGTGTATCTTTTGAATTGTCATGTGCCAATAGATCATGTTGATTTTCAATACTTTAGAAGAACAATTACTCAGGAGATCAGGCTGTAAATGGGCAATAAAGTTGCTGTTGGTCTCTAACAACAAAGTGAAGCTTCGTTCATTGTTATGAGCGGAAATGGCCGAATTTTCTTACTGAACGTGATCCTCAGTTCTTATTTCATAGAGATTTCATTTTACGGGAAAACATTCAAATGATCAAATGATCAGGGGTGCGTTGCTTGTTCATCGCGGCCTCCAACCCATCTGTTTAGAATACTGCTGCCGAGAGCACTGTAGACAAACTTTCTCCGGGTAAGGGAGGTTTGCAAATGAAAAATTTTTGTTTTATAGAATCTATGAATCTAATAAAGATTTGAATTTTTTTTTTTGTTATTTATTAGTTCAACAGAACTTTGGTTCACAACTGAAAGTTTGGGTGTCAGGTCGAACTTACGGTGAAATCCGTCATTGAAAGTTCGGTAACCAATGTTTATACACCAAAAGGGTTGTTCGATCAATCGATACCTTCAACGCTTTTTACGAATTTGAAATTTCTATGTTTTTACATATGACAAAAAAATTGGGTGACACAACACAGAACTTCGGGTGACAAGACTTAAAACGTCGGGCGACATAACTTTGTTTTCAGGTGAATATGACTTAGGGCAGGATATCTTTCGAGCGACTGGACCGTAAAACTGTTATTCAATACCAGAGACGAAAATATTCAAAGAGAAAACGAAATAGACTGTGAGTTTTGAAAGTTTTCACGCTCAGTTTTATTGCAAGCTTACGTATGGCAATAAAACACAAACACAACTCGTATAGTATATATGCTTTGTTCAAAAACAAAACACAACAAAAGAGGAATGATGAAAAGATATAACCAAACTGGCAAAACAAGAATTAGGGAGAAACAGCACAACAGAACAAAACACAGTTTAGGCTTCTCTGCTTGTTAATTGGTAAGAGTAGGTGAATTTTCATTTGTTATAATCTTAATCTAATGTAAGTGCAATACATTTTGCACTACATAATTATCCTTAACTCGAGAACGAAAGTAGTGCTGGATAAGTTGTGGTAATTTGTTCCATCTGGAGAGTAGCTATTAGAACTTGTGTCCGTAAATTTTGAGACCAACTTTGCACTAATTGAGGAGAATGCGGTTAAAGCGAATGCAGTTTTAGCAAGTAGATTTCTTTGAAGATTTAATATGAAAGTGGTCTGCTCGAGGAAACTTGAATGCCGAAAACTTAAGTTAAGCTTTAAAGAGAAAACTCTCTTTGAATTTGAAGTCCCTGCGTATTCAAGACAACACAAAGGTCAAATTTTATGTGAACAACAAACTTGCTCTTTAAGGAGATTTCTGGAATTCTTTAAGTTATCAAAGCAAGGTAAACTATTTATTCCCCTGACAATTGAATGAGAGCTACACGTTTCCTTATGGGAGAAAACTGTTTAGACTCTGACCACAATGATACTCAACCAAAACGAAGCAAAATATTTACTCCAATACCAGCGCCTTTCCTCTGGTTTCCCCTGCTGTCTCAATTCATGCGATACTCCACCACAAACGATAACCGACTCGCCATCCGTCAATAAACTACTACTCATCATTTTTCGAAAAATTGTACGAGATAACAATGCGGTTTTCAGTGTCACTGAGATACTTTTATAAAAACTATACTGCAAAGATTTAATACAATAACAATATAAACATTTCCATGTCTATCCGACCACCAGATACCTCCGTTCGGGCAACCTTGGGGTAGCGGAGGAAATTGTAACGCAATGTGTAACGGGATAAACGTATTTATGATATCTTTCCTCTAACTATTTAGCCTGAGGCACCTCGAAATTTGCTCGAAATAATTCACGTTTAGAAAAGTATAAAAAATATCAACCATACAACACCCCAAAGAGCGGCTCCAATTAACAATACTTTGCATGCTAACCGTCACGATTCCTTAAATCGTTTACCCAGGTAATTATCTTTACACAGATCTGCATTTCCTCTCGATTACAACAACCTAGGTACAAAGATTCTCAGACACATTATTTTTATCCAACTGTTGCAAGGTAGTTCTTACAGAGCCATTCATTGTCGCTTACACACGCAGCTCCTGGCAATATCAATTTACCACCGAACTTCTTCCACTTTGGTCAATGTGTACAAGGTTGCCCCACTTTCCCATACATTACTGACGGTCTTGCTTTTAACAAGTGAAAGCCGTCACACCACCATACAACTTCTAACACCAAACATAATAACCGCTGTCATTCACTATGCCTACGTGAATCGAACTAGCGCCTTACTGTTATATTTGACGAAAATGGACGCATAAAATAGTATTATGGCGTAACGAAGCGTAAAGAGATGTAACAATTACTTTATGAAGTAGGTCTCACACTCCTGTGAGCGCTTTCACGTGACATCCGACAGGGAACAAATAGCGCTTCAGCGAAACGAAATACCAAAGTGATGCTCTCGAGGGGCTGAAGGAGATTTAGAAGTCGAGAGTAATCGAATAAGTCAACCAATTGCTTAATCTAGTGGACAAAAGTTCTATTAACCAGTCGCCAAACGTATGTTAGAAAAGGATGTTAATCAAAATGTTAATCAAAATGTGATTAAAACTCGAGCTTCCCTTTATTCATTTAAAAAAGGAAATAGCAGAGCTAAACAAAAGGGCGATTGGAACCGACCCAAAACGATCATAATCTTCACAACAGAAGAGTAAACGAGGGCGAACCATGAAATGATGCAGGTACTCTTGGCTGACCTACGTACCGGCTGATTTAGCAACCCATATCATCAAATTTATGAGATACTGTAACTGCCTGCATTAAACGACTGGGCCGCACTGGGAATGACCTTCAGTCTGATGTCTGTACGCGGAAATAAAACGGCGAGGTCGATCATGTATTAAAATTTGAGTTTCACAATACCTCCTTCACGGCCACCAAATAGAAAAACGCAAAGTTGTCGTCAACGCTGCACCAGTACTCGTTTTCATGATTGTACTGTTATGATGCGCCTAAGCGTACTTCGGGACAGAAGGTCGACTCAAAATACGCGATTAATTACATTTTGCCAGTTTACAGATACACATATAATTACATTTGCGGTATAGGCATTCTTATTGTGTGAGCTAATCTTAAAAGACAACGTTACTTACCTGCAAGAGGATAAAGACCAACAATAAGCACGCAGCAACCAAGGAGAACACGTTCGTCAAACATAGGGGCGAGTTAAAAAAAGACTCGGTACGACCTGTAACGTAAACTCACTAACTCCAGGTCAGTCACGCATGTGTCTGAGTCTTCTCCAACCTTCCGACGTCCAGGATCTTTGTTGTTTGTTGTAACATATTATTCAAATACTTAACCATCATCAGATAAACTGTTATGTACTGTGCGGCTTGAGTAAAACATCAGTGGCATGTACATATGTTCAAATACTGAACCGTACATTGATACTCTTAAGGGGGCTATTGACTTCATTTAATATATGTTGGACTCTTTTGGATAAGCTGTATGTTATGAAATGATAGATAGCGTTTACGGTTAAGGACGTTTGTTAGCAAGCAGTGTAGAGGAACATAGCTTTAATACATTTTTAAAGCGAAATAAACATTCTGACGGTAAGACCGTCAAATGTGCCAGGGGCCTAAAAAGTGGTACAAGGAAGACTGGATATGTGGGGAACACTATGTCTGTTAGGATCACGTGATATTGAGGAACGGGAGTAAAGGGTTCCATTTCTTCGAAATTGTACCAAGCTTGTTGGATTATACTCGCAACTGAGACTTAAGTAGTAAAAGGAAACTTGTTGTGGTGCCTCGGTACGAGAAAACAAAAAGTAAGTTGATATCGATCTTAAGTTGCATTGTTTAAGTTTTTCACTAATGTTTTCACTAAAAAAGGTGCGACTTTCGAACAGTCCCAAAAGAGGTAAATTAGGTTTTAGAGATGGTTCTGGCAATTTATCAATTTTTGTCAGGAGAAGGTTCGTCGGTAGAGCTCTGTGCAGAAGTCTGTATTGGAAGTTTATTTCTTACTCAGCTTTTATAGCTCTTAGTTTTTAACGAAGACCAAAACGTTAATTTTCTAATTCTTTGATGGGCATGTTTACCCAAACTCCCGTACATACAAGTATACTAGTAAACGTGATTGTTGCTTCAAACCAAGACCTATAAATACTGAAATGAAGAACGGCTAATCACCCTCGAAAGTGTTCTTACCCCAGCGACTCGTATGTGCAAGATTTCTCAAACCTTGGTTGAGACCTTATGCACACAGTCTTGATTTCAATCGATTTTTCATCTATCAGTAAAATGTCTTGTCTCCGAGGTTAGTTCTTGATTGAATATATCAATTTAATCATGGTATTTTGTTTTTATTATTTTGCCATTTGATTTTTGCGTTACAGTTATATTTCGCACGGTTCTGGCTGCTGATAGCTTTAGTTACCGCTGACCTCCAAACAAACTGGACTGTGTCACTCAGCATATAATAGGTTCTTAAACTTTGAGGTTTTTCCATAATCCTGTTAGTTCCTGAGAAAATCTATCTCGGTTGTTGTCATGCTCCAGGACGTCAAGAGAGAAATATATCGAAGTTCGTAAAAGCCTCTCACACTAACGAACATTCTGACAAGTTTACATGAAAATCCAACAAATTCACATACATAACTCGCGTAAAAACAAACCTCAAGTTTTCGGCCTCAATTTTTTTTTATTTGTGAAGTGAATTCTCTTATTTTGTCGAATTTTCTTCCGCCAATTTCCTATCTTTGTCAAATTAATTATTTTGTCTTCTTTTAAAAAATGTAATAAAAGCTATCATAACTTCAATATGGAATGAGAGGGATTGTGGAAGGTCCCCATGCTTATTTTCTCGAGCTGAACTGTGTGTAAGGTAAAAGATCGGCATTAAATTTGAAATGGATAAATACATTTTTGCAGAGAAAACACCGCTTTCTTACCATTTCGTTACCGTTACATGAAAAATTTTTTAATCAAAGTCAACTTGTGGGATGTAGCTGCCACATCCACAAGTTCACAAGTGTACTACAAGTGGACATTAGGGAAACCCGAATCTATCCCTGAAATTCTATTGTTCAGCGAAAATACAGCTTTCCTAACTTGTGTGTCCGAGGTTGAACAGCTCAAATGAGCAAATATGAAATAACATCAACGAATTTTTATTTAAAGTCACTGTATTTTGGAAATGTTAATACCACTGTGAAAAAAATCTTAGACAACAACACGTTTGATCAGTTTGGTTGAATAAAAGTATCTATCTATCTGGCTCTCTGGAAAACTTAAAAGGAAAAAAAACAATAATTTCGAAACAAACCACAAAATTAAACCTATTCGCTTTTGAATTCAAAAGTATTTGCAATCAGTTTCGAAAGTAAAGATGGTCCTTGTGAAGTCAAAGAGTTTGAGTTTTAATGTCATTAAAATTTTCCGAGATTTTTTTCAAAATTTTAGACATCCAAAGTGTTGATTTGTAGAGTTGACTAAGGAGAAAGAGTCGTAAGCGGCGAACAAAGAGCACTAGAATTCTAGAACAAAACTGCCATGTTTATTTCCACCTCGTGGTCTCTCGTTACCTATGATAATTTATGCTAATTATGACCACCAGATGAGATAGCCAATCGACACAAAGCAGTCATTCCATTTTGGCAACCCACTTGGAATAAAACCGGCTTCCATAAGCTATAGTAGCAAAGCGTTCAAACATTCAGGCCATCAGACAGTGAGGAAGCTTTACCATCTATACTGTTAAATCTTCAAGGTTTGCATACAAATGCTTATCCTACATTTCCATGTTGATCAGTCTCTGCAGAAAAAAAAAAAACAATAGCATCAGTTAACTGAATGTGTTCCCTTCACGCTCTGAGTAGTTTTCAACATAACCAGTCTACTTTTCCAACCTAATCAAACAAACTAAAGTTACACAGTGTATCATAGTTTTAGCATTCTACAAGCTTAAAAGTCATCCTAACCTCTTTTATTCAATTAAAAAAAAGAATTCCAGTGAAAACAATTTAATCGCCTGACGAAAAGATAGATCCCTTTACAGAATTGTGAACTGTATTCTGTTTAGGATGTCACTGCAATCACGTAGGACAGGCGGGTAAAGATAATGCAAATTAGCAGAGAAGAATAAATTGTAGAGAAGGTTGTGGGTAATCATCGTGGTAAATCCGCCAGTCATGGCATATCATCTTTTGCCTCACAATGTAGTCATGTCGCAAGTGGATCACCACTCGATGACATCAAATTTTCTCCTCTTGGTTCCATGATTGTAACGGTGCTGATATAGGAAGTGGGCTGAGTTGGTCACCGTGAAATACGAGTAGTCCATTAAAGAAGACAAGACTTTTGCTCAAAATGTATCTTATTTGCAAAGGCGTTCACGTATGGCATGATAGCTCATATAGATACATGGGTCTCGTGGATTAGCGGTAACTGCAGCAGAATAGAGACCCAAGAGGCCCAGATGCCGACGATAAGGAGACACAATAACTAGAGAGCCGCGAGAAAGCCTGTTGCTGATTCTTGAGGTGAAGCGTATCCAGGCGATCTCAGCTTCTGAGAAATACTCGCAGCATGCATCATAACTTTGCGATCCACATTACATTGTGAGGCAAACGAGAAGACCTCACTGCTGAACGAATATATAATATCACCTGGATAAATTAGTATTCAGTTTAAGAGCTTAGTTGAGAACTGCCTTGCTGTCTCCCACAGAAACGAAAAGAGGGAAATTGTAATCGCATAAGTCTCACCTCGTATAAGGTTTCCATGTCTTTCAGCTGGTTTTTCAAGTTAGTGAAAGTCGGTCTAGCGTCGGGGTTATTCTTCCAGCATCTCGTCTTGTTCTGGTACCTGGTAGTTGCAAAATCATCCGCAGGTCCAATTAAATTTGTGTCATTACAAATTATGATTAGGTTCCTTAACGGGAAAAAAAACAACTCTCTAAAATTTGCCATGTTCCCACCTTGTGGCTTCGCAGCTTAGTTGGTAGACTGAGCGGCCAACTAGTATCCGAGACCGGCACTGGGTTCTATTCCCGTCGAAGACTGAGTTCTTCAGGTTTTGTTTTCTGCAATTACTTCATTTGCAGTCAACCTGCG